AGCCGGCCGAGGTTGGACAAACTGAAGCTAACTTCAGTGTTCATTCCACAAGGAACCAGGCCACCTCCAGTGAATCTGAAGCAGCAGTGTGAAAGACTCAGAAAAGCAAACAACTTCCCCAAATGAAGGTCATGTCCCTGGAAAAAGAAAAAGAGAGAAAGAAGAGTGGTAAGTGAAAGGTTGGCCTTGTCTCTGTGATCAGGGGACAGCGACTGTGCCCTGTAGCTGATGCCCAGCACAGTCCCTGGGCTCAGAGCAAGGGACTTCTACGTGTGGCTGAAAGGAGGAAAAGAACAGAATTTGGGATCCTAGGGGAGAAAAATACCTACAGGAAACTCACTAGCTCACTAACTAAATAAGTACAGTAGAGGAAGAACATAGAGAAAAAGTCATGTCTGCTAAACTCAGGAGCGGCAAAGAAGTCTCACATTTAGAAGAAAAAAATAAAATAATGATAATAGTAATAGTAATAGTAGTAGTAGTAATAGTATTACTACTAAGAGTAATAATAGTAGTAGCAGTGAACACTTTGTACCAGACACTGTTCTCCTGCTTGACTGTAAATTCCCAAAGGGCAAGGACTTTGCCTCTTTCACTCACCTGTATATACAGAGCACCTAATTCAGGGCTTGGAAGCATCGTAGGCATTCAGTATATGCTATGCCTTTGCTACGCTTTAGTAAATGAATAGAGCCAAGAGCATGGGAGGGAGGTGGAAATAGTAGTTAGTTAAAGTAAAAAAAAAAAAAAATTTTTTTTTTAAGGATGGTTAAATTATGAGCTCATTTTCTCTAACATTTTTGAGACCCAAGTAGGTGTCAGGCATTGAACTTGGCCCTGAAGATAAAGAGGTTAAAAGACAAGGTGTCTTTTGGGCTTGGGTGAGATGGCACTCAAGACTAGGGCCTTATTCAGTGAACCAACATTTATCAAGCTCCTGCTGTGGGACAGGTACCCAGCTGGGCACTTTGGGGAGAAAGAGATAAGGAAGCCCCTCTCCCTGCCCTCCAGGGGTTCACAGTGGTGTAGATGGGGTGTCTGTGACAGAGATGGATGTACGGGGTTGTGATCAAGACAGGACATAAGGAATCTGCCTGAAGGGGGTCAGCCCAGTTACCTTTCACTACCAGACTTCAAACAAAAGGTAGTAATTGCTAACCATGGAGCTTTTGGGATTCCGGTATTGATTGGGACTTTTTCATGTAATAAATTCCTGCCCCTACTCCCAGGAATCTGTATATATACATTTTGAATGTTCTAGAGAACCTGGAAAAAATGGGTTCTTCCAATCTACAAATAAGCACAAAGACTACATGATCCTCAGCTCTGTAATAATTTTAAGATCGGATGACATAGTCATACAGTGAGGACAGAACTCAGACTCCAATTCTATAAAAGGGTCTTCGGTGTTTTGTGTTCAGTTATCCCCAAAGCATTTTAAAAATGTAGATGTGGTAATCGCTCGATATATGGAAGCAACTGTTGCGGCTGCAGCTGAGTCCAGGGCTGCAGATACCCATCCAGGGCTCATCAGTTGAGTGAGGTTTCCCACAGGAAGTCAAGGAGAGCTGAGGGGGACTTCTCACACAGCCGCCTGCCACTAACAATAGGCTCAGAGCAAATCTAGCTCCACAGCTGCATACCCCAGATCCAGGCTGGTCCCACCTCCTGCATCCCTTGCTTGTATCCATCCTCCTTACACCCTGCCCAGATTGGACCCAGCACAGTTCGTTTGGGGACAGAGGAACTAACTAGTTAAAAGAACCGGGGAGGATTGAGATCTGGTCGGGAGCAGCTGCGATCTAACCCAGCACGTGGGGATCTGTGCCATTTAAAGCTCTAGACAGCTGTTTTGTGTTTTGTGTGGCTGCGCCAACACAGGCTGTTGAAAAAGCACAGCCCCCACATTGCCCCACTGGGTCAAACTTGGGAGGTGGGGCGGCAAGACCTTTTTGTCTAAAGGTTGACCTTTTGTCAAAAAGGTCTAGAAGCCCACTAGCTAGGGCACCTCCCTCTCTAGCCCTGGGCGCAGGGCGGGGGATGCTGCTCTTTAGATGCGCGGCTCCAGTGATGACGTAAAGCATGATTCCCAAATCCTGAATGTTACCTTTGAAGCCAGACACCTCAGACGACACTCATCATTCTCCCTCACGTCTGGTTATCTTTCCTCCTTGATTAGTGCCTAACGTGTTACACAACATCTCACCCTCCACGTTGTGCAAACTGTGAGGGTAGCAGCATAGAGTTGAAAAACTGGTCTAACTTCAGTGAGACACAGATTACACAACCCGGTGAACAAAAGACCAGAAATAAATGAACGAATAGTCCCTTCGATTTTAAAACTAATCAAGGGAAAACATGTTTGATGGGAAAGTTACAAGAAAGATTTCCAACCTGCCCCCTCGTCCTGCCTTCTCAGCTATACAGTAAATATGAAAGTTTCGGTGGTCTCATAGCCTCCCTTTATATTCAGGTTGAATTTCAAACCAACGCATGATACGGTGTTGAGGAGAAAGGCTTCGGCTTGCTTTTTTATTACCTCTTACATAAAAAAGAGTTAAGACTTCAAAATGACACCATTTCACTCTTCAGAGAGCTACTTTTCATCAGGGACTTGGATTTTAATTTCACATTGCTTCAATAAGATATGACAATTGTCATTAAAACAAGAATTGCATATCCCACTTTTTCTCTATTTTGTTACGCTGGGCTGTGGGGAGGGGTAGATGCTTAAAGATCCTTCTCGGGTGTCGCCAACCTTGTTTTCATAGGAACTTTCAGAGACGGTGAAATTGGATATATATGAACTGGGAACAGGTTGACCTGGATTCCAATTCTGACTCGACAGCTTTCGTGGCCATCACTTAACCCTTTTTGCGCCTCAGTTTTCCTCTCTATAAAGAAGGACACAACTGTCCTGTGAAGGAAGTGAGGGCTGCCACCAGCACAGTGAAGCACAGAGCTTTCCGTGGAAAGCCCTTAGCAGTAAACGAGACTTGGTTTTAAATCCCAGCCCTGTCGTTTAGGGATGGTTACTTTAAAATGCTCTGCTTCACTGTCATGGCCCATGGTTAACACCTGTGCAGAGTTTCAAATGAGATGCCGTCTGGGCGGTGTCAGCAGACGTGGCTGCTCTTTGCACCCTGTGCTTTGCAGGTCCTTGGCACTCACACTTGGGGCATAAATGCCCATGTAGATCAGGTATGAACCCATTCCTCACTGCCTCTGAACACAAGGGAACAGGAGCACTCGTGTAGGGACGGGGGACAGGGAGGCAAAAACCTGACACAGTGGCTAAAGCAGAAACACCAGCACCGACTGCTTCCCCTTTTGTTGATGCAAGTATAACCGCATCTTGCTCTAGACAAGGTGAACCCTGGTTCGATAAGAATAAGCTGCTTAGTGCTGTTGGTGGTGAAACTCTGCCCAATGATTCTGGCTTTATTGTAAATCTGAGAGCGTCTGCACAGCCCCCTCGAAAGGCCGGCTTTCAAGTACAAGCGCCTTCCTGGGCAACATTTGCCTGAAGTCTATATGGCCCGAGCCCCCCGCTGGCGGCTGGAGAAGAGGGACGGACGGGGATACCAGGGCGCTAACCTTTGGGACAACCACCTGTGCACCCCTAGGCTTGCGATCTGCGGGGAGAAAAAGCCACCACTCGCCACCTAGACCCCCCACGGTCTGTCGCTGCAGCACTGCGGCCCCAGCGTCTGGATCACAGCATCGCTGCCCTTATATTGCGTTCGTGGATGGGACACTGTCCCGCGCTGCAAATCAGCACTGGTGATTCACTGACACAGAAGTACAAGCGGGACTGGGGGATCATGGCCGTGGCCTTGCTGGAGCTTAGAGACGCGAGACTCCAAAAGAGGGGGAAGAGCTCAAACCAAACCGTCCGTAGATAGGCGCCCTGATCTAGGCGCGGTTGGGCAACACACGCGGTACCGCAACTCCAGTACAGATCCCCAGAAAAGGGGAAACGTTCTAAGGCAGAGAACCGCGGGGCAAGCCAACGCAGGGCAACCCAATCGGCGCACAGGCAAGGCAGCTCTGCCGCCCCGGGCCTCAGTTTCCCTGTCTGCAAAACGAGGGCTTTGGGCTAGACCGTTTCCCAATTCTGCTAGGAATCTAGAACTCTGCAATATTCCATGCTGAAGCTGTCCGAGGATCGGAAACCGGAAAAAGACGGGAAAGTGAGGGAAGACGACTAGGGAGGGGAAAAGGACAAGCGGGTGGGAGACCCCGGGAGGGAAGACGACAGACGCCCGGAACTGGCTCGGCGGGTTTTCAACCTTACTCCTCCTCCTCCCACACCTGAGTTCTCACGTCTCGGCCAAGACCCCACGCCCAACGAGTTCGGGCACCAGATGGTCAGGTTTCTCCCTCTGCACACCAATTTTCTAGAAGCCAATGGGGCAGGTGGTGGGCAGCACAATAATGCATGCCAGGGATGGCAGGGGGGATGGTCCCGGCCGGGGTCCGGAGGGCAGGTGAGTGGACCTGGGGCAGGGCAGAGAATGGGACGGCCAGAATGGGAATCGCAGAGCGCCCGCTTCTCAGTCCTCGTGACCCGGGAGGGCCAAACCTTATTCCCCAACTTTAGCAAGGGGAGGGGGTATTCGGGGGGGGGGGGAAGGAAAAAAAAGTTGCTGAACTTTTCCCCCAACTCAGTCTTGGAGGCGGACCGGAGGGCGGTGCCTGCACCCTGATTCGCCGCCGGCTCTTGTCTGGAGGCTGCGATTGGCGCGCGGAGTCCGGGGCCGGGAAGAGCGGGCGTGGGGGAGGGGAGCGGCCCTCCCAGCCCGCGGGATCGGCTCGCGCCGGGAGCGGGTTAATTTCAAATCGGGGGCTTGACTGCTCCTGGACGGTCACGCTCCCTCTGCCCGCCCGCCGGCCCGCCAAGCCCGGTCCCGGCGTTTCCCTCCGCGGCACCCACCTCGGCGCAGCGTGAGGACCGACTGACGGCCCGACACGCGGGCTCCCGGACCTGAGCGGGGAAAGCGGTGCCGAGGTGTCCCCCGCTCAGCCCCCGCCGGCTCCAACCGCGAGGTGAACTGACAGGTCAGCGGGACGCAGAGGGACGTGGCGCCCAGCCGGCCCGGCACCGGGAGAGGGATCGGGAGGGCTGCGGCAGCGACGGCCGTTTCCCGCCTCTCGCTCAGGCGGGGGCCCTAGAGGGAGGAGCTGAGCTCCCGCGCAGAGGGGAGGGGGCGAGCGAGGGGGAGGGGCGGGGATACCGTGGTTCCGGGCGCGGGTTTGCCCGCGCTCAAGCCCCGCGCAGCCAAGGGGCGGTGCCGGCCACGGTCCTGCTTTCCGCGCCAAATTTTTAAATCGAAGGCGGAAGGTCCGGACCCGCCCCTGGCGCCACCAACCAATCGCAGGCCCGCGTCCCGCTCTCTGATTGGTTAGGAATCGTTGCCCTGGGAACGGCGAAGATGCTGTCCGGGAACTGCAGGGCTGGTGGCGCGCTGACTGGGCCCGGGGGGAGGGGTAGTTGGCTGGGCGGAGGGGGAAGTGCGCTCGGCGCGGAGCGGGTGGCGTCCAGGGGGACTGTACCTGGTTGCTTTACTGAACAAATGCAGCCTCCTTGGTGAGATCCAACATCGTGGCGTGAAAGGGCCACCCGAATTGAGAGTACACATCGCCTTTCGTCTTTAAGGATGTCCTAAAAGAAGAAAAAGTCTTAATCATAAGGCGCTCTTTAAATACCCAGGGCATGTTTGGAGTTTAGGAACTGAGTTCGGAAGTTTCCGATCAAGCTATTTCCCAAGTCTTTACTGCTGAGCCTGTGCACGTGTGTATCAGGGGGAAAATTGAGGCATCAAGATGTAGACTTTTATCCAGATGCTTGGGGTCGTGTCTGCTCAGCCGGAAGCAGGCTGGCGCGCTAGCGGAGTCCCCAACCCTGACCTGTGAACAGGTGGGTGCTAGTGCTTGCTACCGTGCTTTTCGGTGGGGTCTGGAGAATGGGAGAATGGCGTGCCTTCCCTGAAGGTGGGAGAAGGCTGTCACTGGCAGTTCTGTGGTTTGGTTTAAGTCTCATGATAGCGGATCGGTTTGCTGAAGGAATTTACTGACGTTTGACGGAGTTCTCTGCCCAGCGGGGTTATCTCTGGCCGGGAATAAAATGTAAATGTAATTTGTCATTTTTTTCGTTAGTCTTTGTTTAAGCGGCCTGTGGTGCCCGTGAGGGAATATTCAGCTGATCTCCTGGTTTTATTTTTCTTTAACTTTTTCTATTTCCTTTTCTTTTTAAGGATATTAAACTTTTTAATAGAATTGATTGGACTCCTTAAACCATCAGGGCGTTGAGAGAAACTCCAGTTTTTCATTTTTAAAGAAACTCTAAATGTATGAGAAATTTACAGAATGGAGAATGAAAAGGTACCTTTTTAACTTCAGTATTCATCCTTGAAGTTTTAAAACCAATATCATCCCGATGTAACCCTATAATTTTCCCATATCCAATATCTTATTAAAGCTATAGCTCTTTTTAGTTTGCTAAAACCCAGAAGGAAGGGAAATTTATTTTTTAAAGAGGGGAAGAGTTTGGCCAGAGCTAAGGCAATCCAAAGTTTTTAACGGTGTGATGGTAATTGGAAGTCTCAAAGAAATAAGCGGCGAGAAAAGGTATTTTTCTAAGAATTACAAAATTGGTTAGCTGCATTATGGTATTTCTCAGAATTCTTGAGCAATTCGAACTTAGAGAGGGCATTTGACATGATTTGAGATCATATTTCTTTTTAAGATCTTTTTCTACGGAATCAGCAGCTTCTTACACTCGGGGGCCACAAACACTATTTGTGAGACAGACCTTTTATAAAACAGAATTATCAGTAGGGGTGTCTTGATGAGTGTCCAGCTACTGATGGGTTAAAAACTGAAAAATGCAAAGTTCCTGAAAGGTTTATATGTCATTCAAATGAGAATTGCTATTGTTCCTGACAGTCTGAGGTAAAGGACAGCAGCCTTTCGAGAAATCCCATCCCTGGGCCAGCATCTTTCAGGTGCACATGTTCCCGAGGGTCCCCCATTGTACTCATCACACTGGTTTCCATGTAAGAGCACCATAGTTGGATTGAGCATATTCAGGTTCAAGGCCTGTGTCACCTCTCTCAGCCAGGATCTCTTCCTTTTCTGCAGAACAGGACTCTAAGATATGGTGAAAATACAAATGGAAAAGCACTTGATAAATCCTAAGGAGTCACGGACATGTTAAACAATCCCATTAATCTTTGTTCCTAAAGTCACTGGGGAATTAGTGAGTGTGTTTTCACTTATTGCCATTCCAAGCATTTTCTTTAAAATAGCCATAGAGAGATGGGAAGAATGTGTGAAGTCCCCAGTGTCCAAAAGTAGAAGAAACGTAGTCTCCATTACCCGTATTTGTGAACTGCTATTAATTTACCATCATGTCTCAGTGGCAGCCCTTGCCTCTGCCAGGAACTAGCTTTGTAACTTTGGATAACTAATTTTATCTCATTTGGCCCTGTTTTTCCTTCTATAAAATGAGAGGGGTAAATATTGAAAGAGCAGACTTTTCTTTGCTGCGACACTCTGGATTTTGCTCCCTGCTAGGTTTCGCCTCTGAGTATGACCGTATGCCAGCCCTCAGCCTTGTCTCCTTGGCTTTCTGACTCTTCCACATGAGTGGTGTTTTACTGAGCACTTGGTGTATGCAGCCTTTGTACCAGATGAACACACACAGATGAATGGGACATGGTTTCTGCCGCGTAGGCCTTTACTTACTGTAGTGTCATGTGTAAAAGTCACTCCTAGGAGTTTTGGATCATTTAAAAGTATCAGTCCTCTTAGAGGAAGCTGAGCGAAAGGAATATGGGAGCTCTCTATCTTATCTGCAACACTATTCTAAATAAAAAATTATGTCAAAAAACTTAAATTATGCCTTAAAGGGATTTTTTAAAAAATTCTTGGAACATAAGAAGAACTGCAAAATTAAGAGTGGGAAATTTAGCTAGTAAAAAGGACAATAAGTGTTAAGTGATCATTGGGATAGTTACTAATTTAATCGACCCTATAACCTCGGTAGGCATTTTTTCCTTGATGAGATTCTATTTATTGTACAACTTCTAGAATCAAGAGCCATATGATAAATCCTGTTTTATGGTAGATTTAATTGCTTGCTTGTTTTAAACCAGGAAAATCTCTTTTTTGAACCACATAAAAGAGGACTAATGAAAACACCTCTGAAAGAGTCCACTGCAGCAAATATAGTGTTGACGGAGATACAGCCTGACTTTGGCCCTTTGACCACGCCTACCAAGCCCAAGGAAATCTCCCAGGGAGAACCGTGGACACCAACGGCCAACCTGAAAATGCTCATCAGTGCCGTGAGCCCCGAGATACGAAACAGAGATCAGAAAAGGGGGTTGTTTGATGGCAGAAACGGATTACCTGAGGCTAAAGATTGTTTACATGTAGGTTTGCAAAAGGCTGGGAGGAGATGTGTGTGTGTGTGTGTGTGTGTGTGTGTGTGTGTGTGTGTGTGTGTAGGAGCAGGGAAGAGTAGCTATTACAGAAGTGCCCGCAATATGAAGCATCTCCCCCCACAGACTGTTATTAGCCTGCTTCAGAGCGCAGGACTCCCCCAAACACAGTACTAGGAATCCTGAGCCTTTGACTCATTTCAGCGCAAGCCTCCTTTTCAGGCCAGCCAAGCGGTTTACACTGGCTCCCACCTTTCTCCCCCCAGTTTTACAGCTGTTGAAGCTAAGCCTGTTAGCTATCAAGGGCAGATGACCGTAATAAATCTGTCCAACTGTATTCTCGATTCAGATATTATTTACCTCTTCTTTTGTAGGAACACTTATCTGGAGATGAATATGAGAAATCCCAACCAAGTCGAAAAGAGAAAAGTTTAGGATTGTTGTGTCATAAGTTCTTAGCACGATACCCTAATTACCCCAACCCTGCTGTGAACAATGACATCTGTCTTGACGAAGTAGCTGAGGAACTTAGTAAGTATGCAAAGAGCTCACTGAAATGGTTAACAATTAAAGTGACTTCATGGACTTACTCCTTCAGACCCACGCTCATCTAGCCAGTGTTTGTAACGACACAGATGGAAATTTTAAGTCGCTGAGGCCATTTTATTTATTTATTTTAATGTTTATTTATTTTGGGGACAGAAACAGAGCCTGAGTGAGGGGGAGGCAGAGAGAGAGGGAGACAGAGAATTCAAAGCAGGCTCCGGGTTCCCAGCTGTCAGCACAGAGCTCAATGCAGGGCTGAACTCCTGGACCCTCAAGATCATGACCTGAGCCAAAGTCAGTTGAAGTCAGTCACTTAACTGACTGAGCCACCCAGGCGCCCCTCTGAAGCCGTTTTGAGAATAAAGGCATATAGTTTCCAACCTCAGTGAGTTTTCAAACAGAAGTAAAAAAAATCAATGGAGAGATTGCTTCTGACTGCATTTCAAAAGCTCTGAAACTGTAAAGAAAGACATTGTTTGTTTTTTATGTTTATTTATTTTGTGAGAGAGTGGGGAGGGACAGAGAGAGGGAGACAGAATCGGGAGCACACTTCCAGTGCAGAGCCCCACAGGGGGCTGGAACTCATGAACAACCCAGGAATCCACTGTGCAATCCATGACCTGAGCTGAGGTTTAGCACTTAACCAACTGACCCACCCAGGCACCCCAAGAAAGGCAACATTGTTTTATGACTTGTTTCATAAACAGCTACAGCTTTGAACTTCTATCTGCACTCTCTGAGCTCTTGCGTGCTCTCCTCGAAGAGCTGGGCTGAAGAATGGTATCTTGGTAGCTTGTGATGAGGATCTGCTTCTGTGAGTAGAAGCAGGGCTTTAGCACCGCCCGCTACTCGGTGCGATTCTGAGAACAATATGTTTTTGGGTTTGGCAAATTACTGTGTTCCTCCTACTACCTTTACTCTTCTCTTCATTGACTTGAATCTAGTTGCAGCCTAAAAGAGATCTGTGGTAAACTTGGGATACTTCTGGAGTCATGAAAATATAATGTGAAACTGACAAGATAGGAAGGGTACTTTAATATATAGCTATCACTCCATGAAGAAGGTTTTACTCTTGGAATACATGTTTATAAATACCGACTTGATTTCATATTTTAAGAATATGCCATGTAGATTCATCTAGTCACACCTACTTAATTGTAGCTCTGTAGGCTGTACCTTTATTTCAGCAGGTAGCTGTTGATCACCTACGATGTGCCAGGCAGTACTGTAAAAGCTTGGGATAACATCAGTGAATAAAAAGAATAAACTCTTGGGGCGCCTGGGTGGCTCGGTCAGCTAAACGACCAACTCTTGATTTCGGCTCAGGTTATGATCTCATGGTTCTTGAGTTTGAGCCCTGCGTGGGGCTCTGCCTTGGCAGCACAGAGCCTGCTTCAGATTGTGTCTCCTTCTCTCTCTGCCCCTCCCCTGCTAAACAAACATTTTTTAAACAAAGAGTAAAATCTTTCTTCCTGTGGAATCTACTTGCTAGAGCGAGGTAATAGATGAGTATGCAAAGGACAGATAAAGAGACATAATGATAGATATTATGCAAAGCACATGATAAGCAAGTAATAATAACGGATGTTAGAAGGTGATACGTGCTGTGGGAAAAATACAATGCAGAACAGGGTAGAGGGGGACCAGGAGTGCTGGGAGTGTGTTTCGCAATATCATGTTAGGCAGTCAGGTCAGGCCTCGTTCAAAGGGTGACATCTGAGCAAGAGCTTGAAAGGATGGAGGTGGGGGATGATGAGGGCATCTGGAAGAGGGATTCCAGGCAGAAGGAGCAGCTCGGTAAAAGGCCTTCAGGCAAGGGCACATCTGGCAACTTCCAGGAACAGCAAGGAATTTCGGGTGGTTTGTACATATCCTATGATAACTGTGTGTGTGTGCACATGTGTATGTGCGTGTGTGTGCACACATGTGCACCTTGAAGAGTCGTATAAAAAACCCAGGTTGTAACGTGTGGGGCTTAGAATATTAACGACTTGGTTTTGTCACTGGTCTGTGCTTTGGCATGAGCTACTTAGCCAGCCTGAGCCTCCATTTCCTCATCGATAAACTGTGAATAATACTACCTACCACACCAGTTTAGGGTAAGAATTTCCTAAAGCTGTATGGCACACAGTAGGTCCTCTGTAGATGTTACCTTTCCGATTCCTGTTAGCATGATTTACACCCTATGAGAGCAGAAACGTGTCTTCCCCATCTTCGCCCCCTTTGTTGAGTGTAGTAAGTAGAACTGTGTCCTCCAGACCCGCGGACTAAGAAGCCGTGGAGGAAAAAGTTACTCAGTTCTCTACACGTTACGAAGTCTGACCCTCGTATGTACCATTGCTCCTTCTTCGCAGATGTTGAGCGGCGGCGCATTTACGACATCGTGAATGTCCTAGAGAGTTTACACATGGTGAGCCGCCTGGCCAAAAACAGGTACACGTGGCACGGGCGACATAATCTCCACAAAACCCTGGGGACTTTGAAAACCGTCGGGGAAGAGAACAAGTACGCCGAGCAGATTATGATGATCAAGAAGAGAGAATACGAGCAAGAGTTTGACTTTAGTAAGACGTACAGCCTAGAGGATCATATCATGAAGTCAAACAGTGGCCACGATGGACACGCGGACATGTGTTTTGTCGAACTCCCTGGAGTGGAATTTCGGGCAGGTGAGCCATGGTTGGAAGAGCCTGGACCCCTCCTGGGTCTAAAGAAAACGGGTTCTTAGAGCACGCTGTTTGATCTAGAGCAACTCCTGCCTTTTAACATGCTAAAATGCTGTGCCTGTCAGCTGTCTGATCGGGTTGTGGTATTTTTAGCCCTGTTACTTTAGAAGTCACTTGTCCCTTCATGAATTTTAATTCTCTAATCCTCCTCCTCCAAAGCCTCTGTAAACAGCCGCAAAGATAAGTCTTTAAGAGTGATGAGCCAGAAGTTTGTGATGCTGTTTCTGGTGTCGACGCCTCAGATAGTGAGCCTAGAAATTGCTGCCAAGATTCTAATTGGGGAAGACCACGTGGAAGATTTGGATAAAAGCAAGTTTAAAAGTAAGTGTCAGGACTGCCGTGGGCTGTTGGACCTGTTCTGAAACCATAAAATGTGACTTAGAAACTGATTTCTGAGTACATGCACTGTCCTGACGCATCCTCTCTAATCATGCCTGTGCACCTTCTCTTCTCCCCGGACGCTGCGACTCTGCCGTTTCACTCACCCATAGGATTCAAAGATGTGTATTTAACTTCTCTTATTTGTCTGACCCTTTGGCTTATAAACAGTCCCTTAGAAGTGACCTCCTTTGATACTGTAACATTGTCCCCATTTTGGACTTTTGAACTCTGTGGTGCCTGAAGTCTAAATGAGCAGTAAATTTGTCAAGTGGGCCTGGAACCCCGATCTCTGCTCTCATAGGCAAGGATATGAATAACTCTTCTAAAATTGTCCCCAGAAGTGACCTGCAGCTCAGGTGAAAGAGTAGTTTCAGCCAGACCTGCTCGAAGGAGGAAAGGGGCCTGGACTGGGCTCCTGATGCCGAGCTCTGCCCGCACCTCGGTGACAGGCTTTGCCGAAGCCTCTAGAAGAGAGTGTGGAAAGAAGTGCTCAACAGATGGGAAGGCTCTGCGGCACGCCCGCGTCCCCCGGGGGCAGCGGCACACCTCCACGTAGGGCACGAGGCTCAGCTGAACAGGGGACGCGCCTAAGGAGGGGACCCGCTGTGGGGAGTGCCCGGGAGCCATTGCACAGTTGCCTTTCCGTTCCTGTAAAGCCGCACTAATCCCATGAAAGTGTATGCGCACAGCTCCCGGTTGATGGTGTCTCTATAAAGACAAAATTAAGTGGAGAGTAGAGGCAATAACACTGGCAATTGGCTTGGGAGATGTGCAATTTCAGCCCTCTACTGAGATGGGCTGCCTGCTTTTTCTGACTCACCAGTTTGCAGCTCTCCATTTCACTGGTTAGTCACAGCCTTGGAAACCATTCCAGGAACTGCGGATGTGTAATTTGCCGAATCCCCAGGGAATTCAGAACCTCCTGCCATGGCTAGGAAGAAGGGGCTCAGTTTATAATTTTATAGTATCAAGCTGGAAGTTCAGACTGATGTCTTTGTAACAAGACTTTTTAAGATATGTAAGATTTGTAGAATGAACGAATCAATGATTTGCATAGGACATAAGGACAATATAAAAATTTACAAATTTGGGGGCGACTGGCTGGCTCAGTTGGCTAAGCCCCCAATTTTTGATCTCTGCTCAGGTCATTGGTCTCATGGTTCGTGAGTTCAAGCCCCATGTAGGTCTCTAAGCTGGGAGTGCAGAGCCTGCTTGGACTTCTCTCTCTCTGCCCCTCCCCTGCTCACTCTCTCGCTCTCTCTCAAAATAAATAGACATTAAAAAATATTTTTAATTTACAAATTTTGATGGGCTATAGCATCCTCCATGCTCATGATACTAAATAAATCTCATTGTTATAAACTGTCACAAGCAGGAAAGCAATGCATTTATCATTTGATGCTTCGTTTCTATTTGTTCATAAAATTCTTCTGAATCCTCATTAGAGGATTCCCAGTAATGGGGACTTTTTATTAAAAACTGTAATATAGCTCCCTATAGGGTGATCTCACAAAGTCATTTTCCCTTTTTCAACCTTTGTCATTTCAAAATTCAGTACCAGCAGTAACGGAGTCTTTTTAATATTTAAAACTTTTTTTTGTTTGAATTGAAGCAGTATCACCAGAATAACTTAAAAGAGTCACATTTTTCTCTACCTGACATTGATGGCTAGGATAGCTTTTTGAATATACATGAAGTCCTCATGAAGCAAAGTCCTTTGATCTTTCACTATTCCATTAAGTGGTATATATCTTTTATTTTCTAGCAAAAATTCGGAGGTTGTATGATATAGCTAATGTTCTGAGTAGCTTGAATCTTATCAAGAAAGTTCATGTCACAGAAGAAAGAGGCCGAAAACCAGCTTTTAAATGGACAGGCCCAGAAATCAGTCCAAATCCCAGTGGTACGTATTTATTTCCCTTCATTCTTTGCTTCATTGTTTTGAATCAATGTGCATCGGGAGATATTCTCCCTTCCCCTTCCTGCCCACACTCCCACATGCAAAGAACACGTGTAAGCTGTTGGAAGGACAAAGATGAGTGCCCGTATGAAAGTTTGGCCGCTGGTTCCATCAACACCCCAAGGGCCAAAACACCTCCAACCCTGTACCCAAGAGGCAGAATCTGATCGTGAAAGGATCTGAAAAAGCGGAAAGCATCACAAAACATAAGATACTGTTGCTTAATTGTTATGCTGCCCAGTGACCGTAACAAAGCCTATACACATCGGGAATATGAACTGAATTCACTCCAGTATCATGTTCTAGTCTCCATCTCAACTCCAGGGTTCTGACGTTTTACATTCCACCAAAGATCCCTCACTGAAATGTTTAAAGTAGCAAGAACATGGGCCACGGAGCCAGAGGGAAACGTAGCCTCCGATTGGCTATGTGGCCTTAAGCAAGTTATGTCTTCAAGGCTGCTTCCTCACCTGCAAAATGGGAAGAACAGTGGTATCTTTGCAAGGTTACCGCAGTTTTGAATCTACATTGACTGTTGAACAATGCAGGGGTTAGGAATGCATCAAAATCTGCATATAACTTTTGACTCCCCCAAAACTTAACTACTAATAGCCTGTCGTTGACCAGAAGACTTACCAATAACATAAACAGTCAGTTAAAACATACTTTGTATGTTTATGTATCATCTATATTCTTACAATAAAGTACACAAGAAAAAAGAAAATGTTACTAAGAAAATCATAAAGGAAAATGCATTCACATCGCTGCACTGTAAAAAATCTGCATGTAAGTGAAGCTGCAGAGTTCAGACCCGTTCAAGAGTCAGCTGTAATCTCAGAGCGAGGTCCTTCGGTGCAAGGATTCAGAGTGCAGGCTCTGGGGCCAGACCGATGGCTTCATACCCCAGGCCCACACTGTACTAGCTGAGGCCACCCACTGTACCACACAACTAGCTGATCAGTTGATTAATGTCTCTGAAATGGCGATGCGTTTCCTAGGAAGCACCTACCTGGTGGAGTTGTCGAGAGTGTCTTAGTCCATTCAGACTGCTGTAACCCAATAGCATAGACTGGGTGGCTTATAAACAACAGAAGTGTATTGCAGCTCTGGAGGCTGGGAAGGCTTTCGAGAGCCTGCTATCTAGATGGCTGTCTTTTCATCATAACCTCACATGGTAGAAGAGACTAGAGACGGCTGTGCGGCCTCTTTTATAGGAGCGCCAGTCCTACTCAAGAAGGCTCCGCCCTCATGACCGAAGTACGTCCTGGAGGCCCCACCTGCTAACACCATCATATTGGGGGTTAGGATTTCAACTTGTGAACTTGAGGGGCCCCAATTATTCAGTCCATAGCAGTGAGCGTCACCGTGTCTCCTCAGGCTGGGACTCCACTGATTACAAGATGCAGAGTTTTATATATATACTGGTAAGAAAGAGAAACCACTAACGATTCCACTCTAGCACACCACTCGTTAGTTGTAAGATGCTGTGGGTTTCGGAGATGTTAAGGTGTGAAGTCTCCTCTCAGAATTCCGTTGAAATAAGATTGACAAGGTTTTGTACAGAAGGCCCTTCAGACAGTGTCTGGCCCAGACATACGCTCTATAAACAACGCTGTATAAATGTTGCTGCTTTCATTCCTAAAATCATTCTTGGCCTATCCTTTGCCTTCATCTCCGGCAAGGAAGCCAAGCCCCCTGCCATTCTGTCTTTCAGGATGTGGCCAAGTCCTTCCTTTTCCCCACTCCGATCTAGAAGCGAAGCGGCCTTCGAAAGACAACTGTGCCAAAAACCTCTTTTCCACGCGTGGGAAACCAAACTTCACTCGACACCCATCTCTTATCAAACTGGTTAAGAGCATAGAAAGTGACCGGAGAAAGATAAATTCTGCTCCCAGTAGCCCCGTGAAGACAAGCAAAGGTATGTTTTCAGTCACACCAGGCTCTGCTCTGAAGAATTCCTTTTATCTGTTTTTTTCCGCTTACTTGATCCCTATGGTACTTGTTAGAGATTTGTTTCAATACCCATATACCCCAATCCACTTGAAGCCTAACTCATATATGAATGAAAAGATAAAAAATAATTGGTGGGCTTTAATGGCTGTGTGATTTGGAAGGGAGGTGCGTGTTTTCTGTTCCTTTGATTTCAGTAATGTTTTATCTGTGTGACCATTTATTCTTTTGCTTTGACCAACACCCACCCCCTACCCCCCCTCCCCCGTTTCTGTTTTACCAGCTGAGAGCACTCAGAATTCGGCACCCTTCCCAAGTAAAATGGCTCAGCTCGCAGCTATTTGCAAAATGCAGTTAGAAGAGCAGTCAAGGTAGGTTAGTAATACTCTTCAGTAGCAGGATGACTTCCTTTTACATTGCGTCGTTAGGATTACTTACTTTATGTAAGAACACGCGCTAGCCTTGGAAACGGGTGAAATAGTCTTTTCCGTAACGTTTATGCAGTCATTACAGAAGCTATCTGCTAGTTTCCTAAATGCATGGCTTCAATCTGGCCCCAGTCCAACATGGTAGAACATTTTAGAGAAAATGTGTTTCCACTGTGTCATATTTTAAATCTTGTCTTTTAGTGAACCCAGCAAGAAAGCGAAGGGACAGCAGGAAAGATCCGGGCACTGCAAACCAGCGTCTCCTCTCCGCACCCTGGCAAATGCTGAGCTGGAGCTGACGGCCCCGCCCCTCATCCAGCCCCTGGGGGTGGTCCCCCTCATCCCCAGCCCATTGTCACCTGCGGTGCCTGTGATCCTACCTCAGGCCCCTTCGGGCCCATCCTATGCCATCTACCTGCAGCCTGCCCAAGCCCAGACCATGACAGCGCCCCAAGGCCTCAGCCCAACAGTCTGCCCCGCCCCCTCTTCTAAAGCTACAAGGTCAAAAGACCCCACAGATGCCACCACTGAGAAGGCAGCCAGTGACGCCAAATCGGGTGCCCCCACCAGGCCTGGAAGCTTGCAGCCGGTGCCTGACAGACCAGGTGCAAAGAACCGAGACCAGGAGTCTGCTGGGGAAAGAGGCTCAAAGAGGGCAAGCATGCTTGACGACAGTGGTTCCAAAAAGAAATTTAAAGAGGACCTGAAAGGACTTGAAAATGTCTCCGCAGTAAGTACAGCCTCACACCGTGTAAGGCTTTAGGAAGTCCACAATTGATTAGAGGAGAATTTAGTAGCTTGTGACATTTACCAGAGCAAAGGGCAGTTTCTCAGAAGACCAGGAACTGTTCCTTAGCTTCCCAGAATCCAAACAAAGCCCCAGACAGCTAATCCTCTGACTGGGATGACGGCAGGGACATTTTTAACCTTTGGAGGAAGGGATTATTTGCTCTCTTTTTAAAGCACTGCGGGTGGTTGTCCTTAAGTCTGTTTCTCTGTCACATACTGGAATGCAAACAGCTGTCACAAAAGTCTTAAATAATTTACAAGCAGACGTAACCCCAAATGAATGGGTGGATGCATAGGGATCCTGTAACTCCTGCTTTCTGAGTCACTACCTAACGTTTGTTGGATGTCATGTACCTAGCATCTGTTGCCCGGCAGATAAACTGTCCCCTCTGTTTTTACTTTCCACCTAAAATTTAAACCAAAATTTCTATTTTATGTAATAGAAGAGTCAAGCTTATCTTGGCAGATTGTAGGTATAGTTGATGCACTGGTTTCTAGAGACTTTGCTGTTCCAGGTAATTTTGTTTCCTAGGTGGAGTTAAGTTCAGGAAGGGATTAACATTTATTAGATGCTTACCCATATACCAGGCAGCAGAAGTACTAGGCATTTTTATATATGCTATCTCATTTTTCTCCCTAAAGACAGTTACATAGGGAGACGTTATCACCAAATAAACACCGTTAATACGTGGAGGCAGAAGTCAATCTCTCATTTTGTCCCTGCTATTACCTCAAGTTACTTTCCTTCTCTACATCTTGTTTTTCCACATCTATAAAGAATTTATTCCACCACTTTTACCTGATCATCTACTGGGCATAAAGCGCTGTGCTCTGGATCAAATCAAACCCAGAACCTGCCTTTGGTGACTATTGCTTTTGAATACTTGCCCCAGGGCCATGTTACAGTTTTTGTGAGGTTAAGTGAATTTATTACATGATACTATACATAAAGGGGCTTGTGATCCTTTTAAGGCACGGTATAAGCTGAAGGGTATTATCTGTAACTGTTGTTATTAAAGAGGCTTTAGAGTTTGTCAAATCTTCCCTGAGGATGGCCCCATGGTAACTGTTCAAAACATCTATTATCTTAGCGTACTATCATTTTGCATGTAATATACATGCTAAGGGGAAAATCACAAGGCTTTGGCTTGATTCAATTTTCTGGGAGGTCCATAATCTCTTCGGGCCAATGGATATGATTTAATAATGGTCTCCTGTTGCTCACTTAATTATTCAGGATTAGGATCGTCAGTAGATAGGTTTTCTGTGTGCCCCTGCTTCTCTTTTCATCTCCCTGCCTTCATTTTGACCATTTCTTTTTAGCATGGACTAAGATGAACAAAGAAAAGAGAGATTTGTTGTGTAAATTCATTCAACAAACATTACCCAGAATCTGTACTTCTGTGGGTGGAGAGAAGACAGTGCATAAACAGACACAAATATGTCAGGCAGTGAACATTAAACAGACGGATGCAGTAGGAAGAAAGGGATAAGAGAGCTAATGTAGACTAGATGAGAAACATGCAGGCTGAAATATACCAAATTCATTCATCCTGCTAATTAACAGTCCTAACTTAAAAAGAAAAAAAAAGGAATTGGCATTATAGGCTAAAAGATTTTGCGATGAACGTAGTCTATAGAAAATTGAAAAGTAATTATTAGAGCACTATAGGTTTTGCTGAAGATTTGAAAGAATTAAACCAGCCACCAGAGTATCTCTCATACCATGAGAGATCACCGTGAACGGTAGTAAAGAACAGCTACTTGTAAATTGCCTAACTCCGCCCATGAAACGTTTCTGTTCCTGCAGCTTTCAAGGAACCAGCGCGTAAAGATATGGAACAGTACCAAACATTTCAGAAGCAAAATTGATAAACTAGCAGTGTTGTGGATGCTGAATTCACTGGTTCCCAAGGAAAGGATGGGACCTATTAATAGCTAGATCAAAGTGTAGAGCGTTGTTTTGACAGTGGTGAGAAGAAAGATCTGGAGGAAGATAAAAAGGGGGCCCCCAGGTTACAAGAGCTGCTTTTAGTTTTTGCCAGACCTGCTCATGGTGAGGCCGAAACAGACTTTTCAGGCAGTTCAGCCACCCATGCAGGCTCTCTGTTCGCTAAAGTACAGAGACCAAGCCAGCATGGTGGGGAGTACATACAACCCAACACTGGCTATTTCTGTTTAGAATATAACTTTATTGCCTAAAGCTTTTGCTCTGTGACATTTGGGCCTCCAATATGAATTAACCAGTTCTCTTTTTAACTATAGTTTTTGAACTCTGGTGCCCTGCCCTTCGGTTTGTGTGTTATGCGAGTGCTTGGTATCACTGGAATCTGAAGGGCTAGGGAAAGTGCATCTGTAGTTGTATAATTACTTTATTCTAAATCAGGGGGTCAGCACACTTTTTCTATAAAGGGCCAGATAATAAAAGTTTTGGCTTTGTGGGCCATATGGTCTCCGTGCTGCCTATGCAACTCTGCCATTATAAAAATAGAAGAAAGCAGGTATGGACAGAACATAAATGAACGGGCATGGCTGTGTTCCAATACGATTTTATTTGCAAAACTGGCCAGGAGGCCAGATTTTGGCCCGTGATTTGGCAACCCCCTTCTCTAACTCAACATTTCTTAAGATGTTTTCCTCAAATACCAATACTACCAAAAATTTAGCTGCTAAATTGCCTGAGAAATGCTACCTGCTGTATGTCCCTTGGAGATTTACAAGGCACGCCATCATTAAAGCCCCCCAGGAATTCTCTAATAAAGACACCATTTTCCTTTGTTCAATTCAGCATTTCCGAGACCAGTTGGACCACGATTCAAGTAGGGCCAACTTGCATCCCATGGAAGCAGGGTTCCTCAGAACAGTCTGGGAAATTACCATCCGACATAATTCAAGAACAACCATATAAGAATACAGCAGTGCCATCGTGGTGTCCAACGGCATTGAACATGGTTCTGACAGCACCACGTCGTAGTGTCTGATAGCAGGACTTTGGATGTCAGTGTGAGGGGGCGTGTTGGGCAAATCCTACCCCTAGGCAGGCTCACTACTAGCTTTAGGATACTTCCTAAGACCACAGATAACATTTAAGAAACACATGGTTTTTACAAGTCAGGAATGGGAGGGAGGGAGGGATGTGGTCTTCAGGGAGCTATATAGCTGGCCCACCCCATAGCCCATCCCACTGGATGCTTTGGTCTGATGAGACAAACAAACACCAAGGGATATGAGTCTTGGAACGGGCACATGGCCGTTGTTCTTCCATATTTGCGTGTAGAATAAAACCTTCCTCTTTGTTTTCTAGACCTTGTTCCCATCAGGATACCTGATCCCTCTCACCCAGTGCTCATCCCTGGGGGCAGAGTCTATTCTATCTAGTAAAGAAAACTCAAGTACGCTTTCCCCAAACCACAGGATCTACAGCTCCCCAATCACAGGTGAGTGTACATAAAACACTATTCAAATGTGGGTCAGGCTCAAAGTCACTGAAGCCTTATAAGCTTGGACAAATGCCTTTGCTTTTAAGATATCTTCCCCCCTTTTCTTTTCAGGTGTTATTCCAGTGACATCATCTGAACTCACTGCTGTAAATTTTCCCTCTTTTCATGTAACACCTTTGAAGCTAATGGTCTCACCAACCTCCGTGGCAGCTGTCGGGAACAGCCCGGCTCTCACTTCGAGCCACCCCGTTCCCGGCCAGAACCCCAGCTCAGCCATTGTAAACTTCACACTGCAGCACTTGGGACTCATCTCCCCCAGTGTGCAGGTGTCTGCGAGCCCGGGAGCCGTTCCTGTGTCTCCAAGAATAGAGGCTGTTAGTGTTGTACCAGAAAATGTAGGCACTCAGCAAGGAAGGGCCACCAGGTACGACTCTCCAGTCCCAGGCCAGAACCAACCGAGTGGACAATCAGTTGCTGTGACGGGGACACCACAGGTGAGAGTATTTCCAGTCAGTGGATTTTTTTCCTGGGGTTATTAAGGCCCAAATAGTATCACAGGAGACTCGCTTTTGCTTTTCTTCTTTGGAAAGGGGAAGGATGGGAGGAGGAGACTGAAGGCCTAGCTGCCTTCCAAGCCCCGGAAGGCCACAGTACCCACAGCCGATTGCCAAAATATGCCAGGCTCCTATCGTGTGACATGCCCTTCCAGTCCAACCCCCTGAGGCTATTAGGCCATATCTCTCTGTATGGGTTTGACTTCTTTTTCCTATTCCTCTCTCTCCGATCAGCCTGTTCCTGTGACACCCAAAGGGTCACAGTCAGTGGCCGAAAGTTTCTTCCGCACCCCAGGTGGACCAGTGAAGCCAATGGGCGCATCCTGCATGGATTTCGATGGTGCTAACAAAACCTCCGTAGGAACTCTCTTTGTCCCACAGCGAAAGCTGGAAGTCTCAACAGAGGATGGCCATTAGTTGACAGCTTTGGCTTTATTTAATTTTCTAAAGGGTTGTCTAATAGAGAAGGTTTAATCAGACTGATTTGGAGAACGCATTCTCTGAAAATACTGTAAATACGTTGGGGGTTTACTTAATTTCAAAGCAGACACTTGTTTCCCTACTTACACACACACACACACACACACACACACATATTTGTACTAAGTAAATTTCAGCCATCAGTCCTACCAGATAAAAGCAAAAAGTTGAACGTCAGGTGTATTAACTGCCGAGGGGGGAAGGATTCGTTGTCTCAGCTGTGCCTATGCTATTATGCAAAGTAACTATATGAAAGTCGACTTCCCTTTGCGTGAATATGTGACATGCCCTATGCCACATTCTCTTCAACTTTGCACAATGAACACGCTGCAATGTATAATGTTGTATTTTTAAATGGGAGGGCTATAGCTGTATTTTTTTGTAATTTCTTTAATCTGTTCTCGTTGCAGATTGTGTCTTGTGTCCTTTTGTAAAGTTTGCAACAATCCTCAATCAAGTCTATGGAAAAATTATTTATAAACTGTATTTTTAATCATAAGTTGTTCAAATTAAAACTTTTCTAAAATATAGTTCATGTTTTCATTTGGCCAGTGGGGGCACTGTTGGGAGAAAAAAACTTCCCTAACCTCAGAGGCAAATCCTTGGGAAGGAGAGTTCTGGGTTCCTTTAGATCCGCCAAGTGTATAAAATGTTCCTGTGTTCTTCCCCCTTTGGATCCTCCCCATGGCTCTACTTTTCAGCACTGAAAATGGCTTTGGAGAGGCTGTTGCTTGTCCAGGGACATGCAGCTAAGTCTCCTGAGCTTTCCACCACGGCCTGGGCGCTTAGAAATCAAAGACAGGAGCAGGCTCACTTCCTACCCTGGCCTCATATGGCCTGCCTCTGGCCCCGTCTGCTGCCATCTACAGAGGAGAGGCTAAAGCTCCAGTCGTACCACGCCTTCCAAACGGCCCGGCTTCAGGGATGGGAAAAAGGTAGTCAGGATTCTAATTGACTCCAGGAACTAACATACTGAACCCCCATGAGCCCCCAGAGAAGGAACGAGCTACAGTGTGTGAAGTGTGCCTCTCCTTGACCCTCTTGTTACGGGATGAATTGCATCTCCAGAATTGACACGGGCCTTCACTGGTCAGGGTCTAAAAGGATCCGTATAATATCTATTTCCTATATATTTACTATATGCTAGGTACTGCGCTGTACATTTTAAAGGCACTGTCTCCCTGAGCTAAGGCAATGAGGTCACTGAGGCTCCCAGAGATTAAAGCAATAAGTCCAGAATCCCACTGCTAGAATATGTCATGACTCGAGTGTGTGGGTCTCCTTTATCCATTAGCCATCTGCTTCCACATGCATGCCCAGCTGCGTTAGTAGGAGCCGAGCACACTCAGGGTAGTCTAGGCATTTGTAAGGTCATTCCTCTCAAATATACATGTTTTGTTTTCATAACCAAGCACAGCAAAGAGAGCAGATTTTCACACTGACCTAGAGACTCCCCTTCCTTCACACCACTAGAGAACCAATATGAGCGATTTCTCCCAAAGTACCTCTGCCTTGGCTTTTATCCTCCTGGGAAGATGTGTGAATGGTTCCTGATATAAGAAATGGTTCCTGCCTTTAAGGTGCTTATAATGTAGTCGAGGAAGACAGTATTTGCACATGAACGAATGACAAAAAGCATTCCCATGCAGTAAAGAGAAGGTAACTTGCCCAATGGTAAATATAGGCAAAAGATAGTTCATGGAGGTTACCGGATTCAATGACACATAGACAACTGTGAAGAGAAACCAACCCAGTCATGATAGCTCTGAGGCGATGCAGCTCTTTACCTTCCCCCTCCCTCGTTTAAAGCTGAGCTAGAGGGACCGGAAGCCAGGATTTTGTTCTGCCTCCTTAACAGTTCATGAGAAGTACCCCTCCCCCCACCCCCTGCCCCTGGGACTGAGGTTTGGGGAACTCAGATGCACAGAAAGAATGAGCTGTGCTAGACTTCGAGACTACTCTGAGGATTGTCCTACTCAGTTCTTCCACTCAGATTCATAAGATTGCCCCATAATCCCTGCTGCCTGGTGTTCACCCCCTTGAGTGTGGGTGGCACCTGTGTCTTCCTTCTAACAGGATACAGTAAGGGTGATGGCATATGTGTGATTATGTGTACATGGTTATGTACTTATATTACCTAGGATTGCACTGTAACCCGTGTAGGGAGTCCTACATGGCAAGGCACTGGGGACAGCATCCTGGAGCCGACGAGAGCCTGCAGCCTAACAACCAATAAGGAAGTGAAATCCTCAGGTCCACCTATAGCCACAAGGAACTGAAGTCTACCAACAATCTCAGTAAGGTTACAGATGGACCCTTCCCCAGTCAAGCCTCAGATGAGATTGCAGCCGGGGAAGGGCCCAAGCAGAGAATGCGGCTAAGCCGCTCCTGGGCTCCTGACCCATAGAAACTTTAAGGTGATCAATCTGTATTATTTTAAGATGCTATGTTTGTGGCAATCTGTTATGCATCCATAAATAATGAATACAACCACTGTTATACAGTGATAAAATTTCCAAGAGCAGGACAACTAATAGCCCACTAGTCCTATAGGTCTTTGTCTTATACATTTGTCTTATTATCTGGTTCATTGGTTTTATAGACACATAGAAGCAAACAGTACAGGACATGGTAACCTGAAAGGCTTTCATGGGAGAAGCACTGTCCATTCATTTTTAAAGCAGGAAGCAACTTTAAAGATGTCAAGTAATAGCACAGTGGTAGACAAAGTTATCGGCCCAGCATGCAGTTTCTGTTCCCAAACTGCCTCCTGATTCCCCCTTAAGGAATTATGAGATGGACCCCATGGATTGTAAGTCTAGGCCAACCTCCCTAGGATTTGATCCATTTCACCCTAGCAGTGAAATTCTATTCCAGCTACAATACGGTTGCTGGGGCTCCTGCCTCCCAACCTCTGGAAAGACCATGGCACCTGCTCCTGTCGAAGCCTCATTTTCAGCCGTCCTCTGATGGTGCGGGCCTTTCGTGCCCTTCTAGTAAATTTCCTTTGCTTAAAGTTGCCAATCATGTCCACGCCTGGTAACTTAAGGGCTCTTAACCAAATCACAGAGGGAAACCCAGAGCCAAGGCTTCCCAATTCCCAGACCAGATAGCTCTCTGTTCCCTGGGTCTGATGGAATCCAGCCAAGGAGTGAATAGATAAGGCCTTAAGAAATGCTTATCTCCCCAGCCATGGGAGCAGCTCACCCATGTTCCCGCGAATGCAAAGTGCCATTTAAAATACCTGAAAGGGAACTCGTTGCAAGAAGAGATGCAAGGAACCCAGAAAACTGATAAAATTTGGTACAAGAAAATTCTTTTAAACTTGGCTTTAAAACAACTTCCCTCATCCCTGTCCTTTTCAAGAGATTAGTGTTCTTGCAGATAAAGGATAAAGAGATTTTCAGAACTTAAGCAGATAAGCTGTCTGAGCAATCCTATTAATTATATAGAAGCATGTGGGTTGACTGCAGATTCTTTTAGGCATGTATCACTGGCTGGGTTTCAAATCCTGAGAGCCTAAAATGAGATAAGCTGGAAGGAAAAGCGTCATTGTTTTAGGTTTTAAAAAGCTATCAATTTTTAAATCAACTTCTAGAGAAGTGATTTTATATCTCAATGTCTTATTTGAGTACATTCAGGTCAATTACTTGCTCAATTGGATCAGTAACGAAATGAGAACTTGTCATAATGGCCAACATTTTGCGGGACAATGCAGGTAGGGAATATAATTATCAACATCCTCCGATAGTCAAGTAATTAACTGCATTTTTTGAAAGGCTACAGGAAAATCTTCCATTTTCCATGAGTTAGGCACAGAGTCTGGTTTGCCCTGTGTAAACTGAATTCTATTTGAAAAGTATTTACTCAGTTTTTACCATTTGCTTAGCACTGTGCCATGTAAAACAATGCCTATGATCCTAATTTGGATAAGAAAAGATCCTGTGTGGGGGTGCCTGGGTGGCTCAGTCAGTTGGACATCCTACTGGTTGGGCATCCAATTTGGGCTCTGGTCATGATCTCTAGGTCCATAAGTTTCAGCCCTGTGTTGGGCTCTGTGTTGACAGCTCAGAGCAAGGAGCCTGCTTTAAATTCTGTCTCCCTCTCTCTCTGCCCCTCCCCTGCTCACACTCTGTCTGTCTTCCCCTCAAAAGTAAGTAAACATTTAAAAAAGAAGAAGAAAAGATCCTATATGTGTAAATCTTCCAGACTGAAGATGACTGAAAACTTTTAGCAACTATTGACTAAATCTTTCTAAAATAATATAGCTCCCCGATTCTTAAATAGGGTATTTGGAATCTAATTTTTTGTCATGTTTCAGGAACTCATGAGCACTACTGTTTCTTTAAATTCAAAGTGAACCAACAATGTAGGCCATCTATGACACAGTAATACACTCAGAGGCTGTTTAGATATGTATCCTCCTAAAATAAATGGCTCCAACGTATTATGCTTTTCAAGTTCTCTTTTTATGGTTGTCTGTCTCTAACTTCAATTTGTCTCTTCCCTCTACCCCCAGAATAAGTCTCTCTTCTAGCCCAGGAAAACAAGGATTCTAGGAGAACTGAGGTCACCACACTCACTTTAATAAACCATTCCAAGTGAATAGATTTCTAATTGCTTAAGAAATGCTCTATCTTTCTCCTGTGGGGTGAAGGCCGTGAGTTCCATCTCAGGTGTTTCCCTGGCTAATCAGTGGTCTTTCTCACCATCCACACGAATCCGAACTTGCTGATGCTAGGAATATTGGACCATGATGGAATGGCAGGAATGTTGAATATAAATTATATACCTATATTCATTATTAAAACCCAACACTTAGACAATAAGGGCATTTCTGCATGAAGATATTCTATCTTTTTTTTAGTGTTTATTCATTTTTGAGAGTGAGAAAGAGATGGAGCACAAGCAATGGAGGGGTAGAGAGAAGGGGACACAGAATCCAAAGCAGGCTCCAGGCTCTGAACTGTCAGCACAGAGCCCAACACAGGGCTCGAACTCATGGACCGTGAGATCACGACCTGAACTGAAGTTGGACACTTAACCAACTGAGCCACCCAGGCGCCCCTGCATGAAGATATTCTGAGAAAAACAACATGTCCTAGATGAACTAGGGGAAAGAGTGCGACTCGAGAGTTTTTTTTTTTTTTTAAAGGAATCATTTTTATTGAGCATCCTCTATTGTGCCTACTTCAAAACAACATTGCAAGGTGGTAACTACTGGCCCCATCTTACAAGTGAGGAAGTTAATTTCAGAAAGTAGTAAGAGCACGTCCCAATCACAACCTACGGGGGCAAAGCCAGCATGGACATGCAGATCTGCCTAACAGATCTAATGGCGCTGATTTCAGAACACCACACTCCTGAGTGCCACCATACGAAATCTGTCACACATATCCAGACTGTGGTAAGACAGCCTGATTCTAGATTGTTCACTGGCAGGGCAGAATAGAGCTTCAAG